AGTACCTTCCCCCAAGTCTGCTCCAATATGCAGCCTTCGTTCTGGACTCCCATCATGACAACACCTAATCATACATCCCTTTTAAACAGTTCTCTCCCTCATCTGTTTCAATGCAGTATACATTTTTTATCCCCTACTTTCTCAGTCTCCCCCCAAACCCGATGTCAGTGGCACGATGCAGTATTTGTCCTTTTGTGACTGAGATATTTCACTCAGTATAATGTCCTCCAGGGTCACCCATTTTGTATAATATTGCATGAGTTCCTTGTTTTTCAATGCAGCATATTATTCCATTATGTGCTATATCAGAGCTTTTCTATCCGTTCGTTTGTTGATGGGCACTTGGGGGTTGTTTCCAGCTCTTTGCTATTGTGAACAAAGCCACTATAAACATGGTGTGCATATATCTGCTTGGGTGGCAATTATGGTCTATCTCTTTGGTTTATATTACCAGTAATGGAATCTCTGGGTCAAATGGTATTTCTATTTGCAACTTTTTGAGAAAGTGCCATACAGCCTTCCAAAGTGGTTGCACCATTTTACACTTCCACCAACAGTGAATAAGGGTTCTAGTTTCTCCACAATCTCGCCAGCATTTGTTTCTTGCTGTTCTGTTAAATTCTGCTAATCTTACTGGGGTGAAACGATATCTCATAGTTGTTTTGAACCTCAGATAAACTATTAAAGGCTCCAGCACTATTTTACTCTTCATTCTATCAAAAGTTCTATCTCATACCTATTGATTAAAATTGATCTAGCCAATATATTAATTTTAAACTAGTGTAGTTGGTTTTGTATACAACTCTAGAATTCAAAGTGTAGGTATTAAAATATTAAGTATGTGATGTTCTATAAATATGCTAATAGTGATTTAAATTAATATACTTATATTAGCATAAGAAGCTAATAAGATGTCTTAGGGGCAATGAAATAAATGTGCATAAAATACCAGGATGCAAACAGAATAGGAAATTCTGAGCCACTCAGTGTTATTTGCTTATTTACATTTGTATAAGCTGCTTCCATCTGTGAAAAAAGGAAGATGATGGGCATACTAATCAGTAAATACATAGTTTGTTAACTTTACAGTGTGTTATGTTTAATCACAAGAGGAAACATTCAGCATGCTGCTCAATATCTATGAATTATTGTCCGTGCAGCTTGATTACCTGGAGTAGGGAAAATTTAGAGAGTTTAGCAGAGACTATATAATTTCATTTGACCCGGGTAAGATCTGATGCATTTGAACAGACTAATTTGGAAAAGAAGATGAATTGTTCGATTTGGTTTCTAGGTTTGTGTCTTCCTGAATTCTCAAGATTGAGAGTTCCAGATGACCATGCGATTTCAGACCTGTCCATGTACAATTACATAGAGGTGAGTCAGAAGGTTTGGTTCTATTACTTGAGATGGTTCGCTCGTATTCTAACCAGTGTTCTTTCCTTTAGTTTTTCTTTACTTCAGTTCTGACAGCACAGGAGAGGAAGACCCTCTATGAGGTGGATTGATTCAGTGACTGGGGTAATGGGGGGTAGATGTGTCAGAGACAATGAGATTGGCACAGGATAGAGCAGGATTTAGGGCTGTTGTACATAGGATATAAGTTTCAGGCGATTCAATGGCACATAACAACATAACAACACCTAAGAATAGGTTGTTGTTTATTGTTAAGACCCATAGCTGACTCTCCAGCAGATTTTCAAAAGTAGTAAATCGCATGAAAGGAGATTATCCACCTTTCTCCCACAGAACAGTTGGTGGATTTGAACCACGTGCATTTGCGTTGGCAGCACAATTCCTTACCACTAAGACACTAGAGTTCCCAATAAAACATACACATATACAGAGAACATATCATAGACATTAGTAGATTGTGAACATGTGTCCCGTTGAAAAGGGCCAAGATTACAAAATGTGTTTGGTTTCAATCTTCTAATTCACAGGTTCAAATCTTGGTCAGTTATTTGAATGAGTTACAGAATTTTAAAGAAAATGGAAAGGAAATATGTTAATACATCTGAGAAATTAAAAATAAATGTTAAATGCCCTTCTACACTTAACTTATAAGTCTATTTAACATTATGTATAGTGTCTATCTTGCCCCTCAAAACTCAAAACCAAATGAATCCTGGTGGTGGTGTTCACAGGGAGTTGTGCTGCTAACCCCAAATTGGCACCTCTCTGGTGGTTCACTCTGCAAAAAGGAAGATGAGTGATCTCCTCCCAAGTGATTTACATCCTCTGAAATTCCACTGGAGGATCAGCTATGAACCAGTTCTGAATCAATAGCAATGCATTTTAACATGATTAGCCCATTTAGAGCAGCATTAGTCATTGGAATCTTTTTGTTGTTATTAGTTGCCATCAAGCAGGTAAAGCTGCATCTCACACACTCTGGGCATGTTGCTAGAAGAGGCTGTTTCTTGGAGAGAGACATCATGCTTGGAAAGGTGGAGGGATGGAAAAGGAGAGGAAGATCCTCAACCAGGTGGATTGACTCAGTGACTACAGTAATGGGCTCCAGTGTGTCAGAGATTGTGAAGCTGGCACAGCCAGGACAGGGTTTAGATCTCTTATGGGGTCACTATAGGTCATACTGAAATTGATGGCATCTGACAATAATAACAATTCCTCCTGACATCATGTCCCAAGTACGTGAGAGGAGGTTTCATCATCCTTGCCGCTAAGGCATCAACTCTTCTTTCATTTTCCTTATTCACTGTCCCAAGGCTGCTCCTGGTTGCCCTTCCCCCAAGATATATTTGCTTGTTCTTTGGTCAGTCCATGTTACATGCAAAACTCTTCTTCAACACCATAATTCAAAGACATCAATTCTTCTCCAGTCTTACTTATTCCTTGTCAAACTTTCTGATTCATAAGGAAACAATTGAAAACATCACGGCTTGCACCGGGTGCACCATAGTCTTTAAGATGACATCTTTGCTTTTCATAATTTTATTTTTTGGGTGGGGGATATTTATTTCATTTTGTTTATCTCCATCATGTTAAACACTTGGTCCTTAACAGCAGATTTCCTCAATTAAGCACATATGTTTTTAAAATTTTTCAATATATTTTTATGATTATACTAATTTACAAAATTCAAATACGTTGTTTTCCAGAACAGATTCTTCCAATTTCCCTCAACCCCCCACCCCCATCAAACTGTACAACTTCATGATCAATCCCCCTCCTCACATTGTACACCTTCATCCTCTGCTTCCACCCTCCCCTCCCTTGGATCCTTATACTCATTCTACAATAATAGTTTTATACAACATTTGTCCTTCTGGGACTGAGTTAGTTCACTCAGCATAATTCTCTCCAGTTCCTCTCAAGTTAAGTAGTAATTTATAAAGTCATTGCTCCTGCGTGCTGCATAGTATTCCATTGTGTGAATGCACCATACTTTCTCTATCCATTCATTTGTGGTTGAAGATCTGGGCTATTTCCATGTTCTTGCGATGGTGAATAACACTGCTATGAACACTGGTGTAGAAGTCTCCATTTGTGCCTCAGTTCTCATTTTCTCAGGGTATATTCCAAGTAGTGGAATAGCTGGGTCATATGATTTTTTGGTAAACAAAAATCCTCACCCGTAGACCCATAGGTGCATCATGATAGATGAAGAAAAGATTGAAGTTGTTAATGATTTCCTTTTATATGGATCCACAATCAACATGCATGGTAGCAGCAATCAACAACTGGGATCTTAGGCACAGAAATAAATAAAAATCAAAGAAACTAATGGTTAGAAAGATTTCTTTAGGAAAAACACAGAGTCCATTTTAGGTCAGGCATACTAAAGGTTCACTGTGTATGGATGGCTGTGGTTGCAGTTTTCAAGTAATTAAATAAATGTTTATTAGGTAAATTTAAGATAGACAGCCTAACTACTTTTCTTCTCTCTTAATGACTAACAGTTATAATATAGACTTTAGCATGAGCATCCTATGTGTACCCTATGTGGTGTATAAGTTATTCCTCTATCAAGCAATAACAGGTTATATTGATGTATCCCCCTGTGTCCTTAAAAATAGGAAAACTTAAAAAAAATAATAACTACAAACATAATGTCTGTCCTGAATATGAAGTCATAGGCACAGCTTAAAGCAGATGCCTGATTGCTATAGTTAATGTTCCAAACCAACCTAGAAATAACAGAAGTCTCTCAAAACTTGTCTAACAAACTCTTTGAGTTCCCATGTTCATCCTTCAGCAAAATCACCTTTCTGACAGGTTTTGTGTGCTCGTACATTGTCAAAGAAATGCCTTCTACTGGTTAAAGTCACAAAAAAGGTCCTGGGGATAATTGTTATGGAAATAAGAACTAATTTGAATAATTTTCCCAGCACTGTGATGAATGGGAATAAAGGATAATAAATTATAATGAAGGAAAATAGGTAGTTTGTTGGAGATATTCTTTAAAATGTTTATGTTATTACAGATGAGAGCATATGTCAATTCAAGATGGTTCATTTTCCAAAAGAACATAGAGAGATGTCTTCATGTCGTTATGCCATCTACCTTTATCCCTCTCTACACAATGGTGAGGCCTGGCCTTAAGACTTTTCCTCATTTCCTCCCTCTATTTGGATATAAAAATGCCCAATCATATGTTATTAACTTTCCTTCAGGTCACCTTTTCCAGAATAAGATACCATGAAGCTGTGCTGAGGTGGCATTGGCAAAAAAAGGTGGGGACAGATTATGCTTTTCTTTCTTTTTAAATCTGATAAATTGGAATATCATAAGGAATATGACTATTCTCTGTTAGGCAAATATATAATATATATGATACATTAAATCTTACAAACTAAAAACCCCTGTGGTATACAGAGAGCAAGGTGCCCAGTAAATAAAGCTATTGTTGTTGCTGTAATTGTTATGTGCCATTGACTGAAAACTGACTCATAGCTGACCCTCTAGCAGGTTTTCAGAGGCTATAAGTTGCACGAGAGAAGACTGCCCATCATCTGAGGAGCAGCTGGTGGATTTGAATTGCATATTGGAACTGTGTGCCTTTTAGTTGGCACTGCAAAAAGACAGAGAAGGGCACGTGAGAGAAGAAATTAAGAAATTAAATTGGTGCTACTATTTCCAAGGGTTTTACTTCATATAGGCAATGGAAACTATTCATGATTTTTGCTTCATGCAATGTTCTTATAGATTTAATTTGTAAAATTGGTCAGGATCAAGTCTTTTAGAAAACACAATCAAATTTTAATGTAATGCTATGCCACGTTTATTGGGGGCAGCTAGCCCAGAGATGCCACACTGTGAACATACAGACATCTAAATAGTTTTCATTTTTTAGACAATAAGGTAGGCTGTGATGAGCAAAACCCTGTGCATAGCTCAGGCACTAGCTGGGGACAAAGACAACTGCAGTGAAAAGGAATGAACAGCCTCTGAAGGAGAACGGGAGTGGGTGAGCTCAGGAAGAGGCATAAAGGATGGCAGCAGGATGGCCAGTGTGGACACTGCTTGTGTGTCAGCAGAGCTAGACCTCATGGCGTAAGAGGGAACCAGGTAAGCAGGGACTCACAGGAAGATCCTCCGGGATTTACAGTTACTTGGCTGCATAAAGAATGAATTGACAAAGTCAAGATTTATTCACACAGAGATGAATGTGACCTTGTCTCTGTCCTCAGGTAGCTATAGGCGATTAGGACACAGCAGACCAAGTACAGTGATTGAAACGTGTCAGGTGAAGCAGGGCACATCTAGAGAACAGGCTGCTGTAGCTATGCTCACTATTCCTGGTAGTAAAGACACCATGCTTGAAGTCTTCTGGTGAGTGCACGCTTACTGTCACAGGCCACCAAGTTCTTCCTATGGGGACCTTGTAACTCAGAGGAGACTCATCTGTGTCTTCCACACGATATTCTCCTGAGACAGTTCTTTCAACTCTCTATAACCTGGATTGTTGTTTTGTTGTTGTTGTTCTTTGAAAAGGCAATCTTTAGTGATTTAACTATAAAGTCTGTGTTAAGATTTTAATCTCTCAGCCATTGAAATGAGAGTGTTTACTGTGTCTGCAGGTGATAAGCAAAGGACTCCTTTTGTTTGGAATGCTGATAGCCCTTAGCAGCACCTACCTGCTTGTACACCATGTGGCCCGTCGACCTCTGGACTACTTGAGAAGACCCTGGGCCTGGATAGCTTCCCTCCAGAATACAGGATGTGCATCCCTGCAAGCTTTATGGAGTCACTAAAATGAATCTCTAGTTTTATTAGTAAATGATATAAAGGTTTTGAAGTAGCAAACATTTCATTCTCTGTAACCACAATCTAAAACCATAATTTAAAAGGTGCTTCTGATACCATATTTAATACACCAATGGAAAAACTTAAGCTGGAGATTGGTGAATTCATTAAAAATTGCAATAACGCTCAATTCCATCTCTGTGTTTACTGCAATTAATTAGAAAAACTACTTTTTAAATGACCATACAAAGTTTCACCAAAGGACTACTTTCAGGCCAAGATCTTTCTAAATGTGCAGACCATGATCTCTTTTTCTTCTGAAAAAATGAAGTCTCAAGAGGTACGAAGTTCCCTTGGAAGTGTTCAATTTTTCTTAAAAGAATATAATAGAAGTCCTAACAGGACTGATTTAATATCTAGGATTAACTATCAAATACTGCTTACCATGCTAAGAGCACTTTCTACTGACTGGGATTTATCTAACTACTGTACTCAGCTTCACTGGAGGGCAAAACTCATGAATGTGTGAATGGGAACTTTGAGAGAGTTCTATTTGGGAAAGGTATTAAGTGAATCTGTTTTAGTTCCCACTTTTTAATTCTAGTATTATCTTTTGAAGACAAGAAGATAGCTGCTCATTCCAGAAAGTGAGTAGTAGGAAAGGCTTTTATTCATAAATCAAATCTCTATATTATCAGGTTTGAAATGAGAAGAAATAGCTTTCACAGGAATCTCAAGTTGTGCTTTGCTCTGTTTCAGACCATCTGAAGCAATCTAGTGGTTAATTCTTTAACTATATATGATGATAAAACTATGTTCAGTGAAAAATTTTTCTTTGGTTCTTTGTTCTTCAAAGAATCTAGGTAGGCCCAGTTATCTATTGCCTATAATGATTCATATTATTATTCAAATTATGATTCATAGACACTCTAAATAACAGATTTAAACTTTGCCTTATCCAGCACTAGCCCCATAATCTCCAAAATGCTTGAGCCCTTGTTACAATTACTGTGTCAGTTCATCTTGTTGAAGGTCTCCTTTCCTTCCCAGACCCTGATTAACAAGATGTCTTTTTCCAAGATTACCCCTCCTGATAACACACCCAAAATATGTGAGATGAAGTTTCACCACCATTGTCTCTACAGAGCACCTGATTATATTTCCTCCAAGACAGATCTGTTAGTTCTTTTCACAGTCCATGGTTTATGCACAATACTCTTTGTTAAAAAGGCAAGTATTCTTCTTCATTCTACTTTATTCATCCTCCAGCTATCAGATGCATGGGAAATAACTGAAAACGTCATGGCCTAGTCCAAGCACACACTAGTCTTTGAAATTATATCCTTATGCTTTAGCACTTTGGAGTGAACCTTGGCAATAGATTTTCCCCAATGCATTATTTTTTTTCTATTACTGATTCGATAATGGATATTGGATATTGTAGATCCAAGTAAGATGAAATTATTGACAACTTCAATCTTTTCTCCACCTATCATGATTTTTATTTTATTGATGTGGAGATGTAATCCATTCTGAAGACTGTAGTTCTTGATCTTTTGCAGCAAGTGTTTCAAGTGCAAGCAAGTTTTGTTGCCAGCATAATGCAGGTTGTTGATGAGTCTTTCTCCAATCCTGATGCTACATTCTTCTTCTGAGAGTCCATTTTCCTGTAAGATGGTGAACTAGATAGATGGCAGTTTGGACCCTCTACACCGAAGACATCAGGAACCAAAGATCACAGATATGAATGGTAATTCTTCAGTGCACAATGTAAAAGGAAATGAGGAAACAGTATGTAAAAAACTGATGGATAGAAGAATATGAATATAGAATATATGGAAATATAGAATAATATAGACTAATTATGCTAATGCGAAACCTATACTTGGACCAAGAGGCAGTAGTCAGAACAG